CCCACATCCCCCACATCCCCCACATCTCCCACATCCCCACATCTCCCACATCCCCACACCCCCACATCCCCACATCCCCACATCCCCACATCCCCACATCCCCACATCCCCACCCACAAGCAACTCTTTGCACTTCATCTTTTTTTTTTTTAGTTCAACGCATAAGATAGTACCTGGTCATCCCAAACCAGGAAGTCATTTCAACACTTTGTGACCTCAGACAGGTTATTCAACTTCTCCACTCCATTTCTTCGTTTGTAAGATGGTATTTATAGTGGCATTTACATCACAGACTTGTAAAGGATTCAATAAGTATACATGTAAGCACTTTACATAGTACTTATATGTCGGGCTGTAGTCTAAATCTTAATTACAATAACTTAAGCAGGTTAAGATCACAGAAACTGCAGTCTTTTCTAATGACCCTGGTTTGCTTCCTAATGCTCTGATAAAGAGTATTCATAGCACAGCCCTGGTCTTCTAGGTTATGCTTCTGGCTCAACCTCCCTTTTGCACAACTAAGGGGCACCTTAGATTTGTAACTGGCTTACATGCATGCATATTACAGGTATGATAAATAGCTGAAAACAAGGGTCTCCTTTCTAATCACCTGATACAGTACATATGGTGTAATTGTTCCATGATTGAACACGACCTCTTTTTCTTCAGGATAATCTCACAGACCTTAGTCCAAGCCCTAACAATCTTTGAAGACCCCTGAAGCCTTGGCTTTCCCTCTGATGCTTCTGTCTCTAGCACAAAAGAAAGCAACACAGGCCCAAGAAGTGTGTCCACACTAGCTGGGTATCCTCCTGGAGTTCACTTCATGTCTCAGATGCATCAGCAAATTGAAGTAGCAAGATATATCTAAACTCTGTTTAGTCCAGAAGGAGGGGGCAGCAGTCATGGCAGACAGGGAGCACAAAGCTCTGCAAATGCCATGAAAGAAAAGACCCAGACTGTGGAGGTGGTGTGGGCTCACCCGACAGGAATGTCATGGCAGGTGCCCAGTCCTGCCCTGCCAGACCAGAGAAATTGGAAAAGCAAATCTATGGTTAACAGGCATTGGCAACAGACAGGAACACAGAGCCGACAGAAGCCTGTCAGTGCTTTCAGTCTCCCACACACAGGAAACTATATCCTTCCATGGTCAGCACTGAAAATGAGTTTGTATCTCTGTGTGACCACAGATGCTATGGGTGAGTTATTGAACAGGATTATCAGACTAAGACAGGCTTACAACAGAGGCACAGACTTGGGTCTTAATTGCTTGGGTTCAAGTCTCAACTTCGGCTCTTATTACTGCGCAAACTCAGGTCAATTCCTGAGCCTCTCTGTGGCTATTTCTTTCCCTGAAATGAGAATAGTAAAACCAGCCTATCTGCATTACGATGAAGAGGATGGGGTGCATTAAGAATTATGAGCCATCTGAACTTTACTTAAAGCAGGTTTGTGTCATGTCGATGAACAGTGAAAAACAATGTCAAGGTTTTCTCTGATCATAGAAGTCCAGTCTATTCTATATTCTGTTCTGTTCTATTGTCTATTCTATTCTATTCCATTCCATTCCATTCCATTCCATTCCATTCCATTCCATTCCATTCCATTCTATTCTATTCTATTCTATTCTATTCTATTCATTCTATTTTGCTATTCTTGTCTTCTATCTTATTTTACTCCACTCTATTTTGTTAGAATAGAATAAAATTATAGGCTGAATACAGTGGGCATTGTCCACTTCGCACAATGTTCTTAGTGTCTCAGTTGCATCATCTCATTTACTTATTACAAGAAGAGAAGGGGAAAGGAAGATAGGCAGAATGGGAGAGAAGAGCTTAGAAGGAAGTCGTCCAAGAGACAGGAAATAAGAGGTAAACAGTGCTGGTGGTCTCAGACAACTGTCCATGGTTGTTGAAGGCCAATTACTTGGAAAACTTTTTGGTTTGTTTCAACCCCATATGTAAACCAAGGGAGTTTCTCACAGCTAGAGATGAGAAAGTCTACTCATGCATATTTCCAATGAAAGGACAGTGTTCAGGGATCAGGCCTTTGAGCCCTGAGAACAAGTAGATTTAGATTTGCTTAAGAGTGGAGGGTGGTACTGCTTTCCTCTCAAGCTGACATTTTGTGTTGATGACATTGGCTTTGAGATTTGTTTCTCCTCACTGGACTTGGTGCTGATGAGGAACTGTGGAACTGGAAGTCAATACTCTACAGGTGGGTAAAAGCAAGGGTTTGGAACTTCACACATGAGTGAACTGAAGACAATCTTCTTTTATACAGGAGATCTACTCATGACAGATTCCACTATATATTAGACTATGCTGGATGCTTTGCAAGCATGCTTTTATGAACACCTGATTCTTTCACCAGCTACTCTTGGTAAGTACTCTTATTTCCCACTTCTAAGCTGAGGAAGCTAAGACTCACAGGCAGTCCTACCCCATAATCCACACAAAGAAAGGAGAAGACACAATATTTGGTCCAGGTCTACCTGACACTAAGAAAGTTTCTTCCAATACTTTATGAGGTCTGTTGTAGAGAAGGTGCCATAGGCAGCAAAGCATGTGTTTATTTCTTTGGTTAGACAGAAAGTCTCAGAGAATGGTAATTGAATGTCAAACCTTAGAAGGTCTTGCCAGGGAAGGAAAAAGGAGCTGGACCTACGGGCTCCTTAGGGCTCCATGCATTGGACTCCACTGCTGTCTAGGCTCAGAACTGAGCCTCTTGCAGGAAACACAATGGTCAAGATTGTTTCCTGGGAGAAGGACATAACATCTTTCCTGGTGCCAGGCAACACTGCCTTTACCTGTGGGATGCCATACTGGTCAATGACTTGCCAGATGTACCAATCTTCTTTTCGTGATGTTTTCCGGAACCGGAAAGTTGTGACAAAGGCATACTCATCAGGTAGACCTTGGGGGAACACATCTCTGAGAAAAGAGAGAGAGAGAGAGAGAGAGAGAGAGAGAGAGAGAGAGAGAGAGGACCAGCATTAGTGCAAAGAGTAGGGAGCTGGCTTCGGAAGCTTTCATGTCTTCTCACCCACTATGTCCTGGCAATGTGACCCCTAAGGATTCCCACAACAGTCTCCCACAAGCTGTACTGGTGCCTCTTACTAAGGCAGTGTCTTAATGAAGCCTTCTATTGACTAGCACTGTGGCCCCTTCACTGCTTTTGTCCCCACCCTCAGTGTTTATCTCTGGGCTCCCCACCTTCCCAATGACTGATGTTCAATAAGTGCTGAATGACCCTTCCCCAGGAACTGTTGCAGTAGAGACTTTCAGCCGTCACCTCTCCTGTCCTGTTCCTGTGTTTCTTATACCTGGGGTCCTATAGCAAGTTGTTATGGCCTCAGTGTATGTCTTCACAAAATCCATGTGCTAAAATCCTAATGCCTAGATGGTCAGTAATTAGGTAATAAGAGTGGAACCCTTTGTTCAGAAAGGCTAGTCCATGTTGTTTAGCAATTCTGCTAGGTGGTATTACTGTGAGAAGGCATCATCAATGCAGACCTGGCCTTAGACATCCAGTCTCCAGCTCTTTCAGAAACATCAGCCTCTTAGGAACCATGCATACTATGCAGCATAGTCAGCATGACACGGGACATCCTCTTCTCTCTACTAGTCCCTGGGTCAACCATCATTACAGGAAAGCTCTCTCCTAGAGGTGACCTCTACGCCAGTGAGTCCTGAAACTGTCCATGCTCTTCCAAAATCAGTTACTATGAAGATCCCAAAGCCAATCACGCTGTGCCTGTCCATAGCATCCTTGGACCACCTGTCCACCAATGTCATTGACAGAGATGCCTGAGCTTCCTTCTGGCCCTCAGTTCAGCCCTTCATAAACAATTTTCTCCCCTTCTTTCCTCACTTCTCTTTATTTTCCAACAGAGTTCTGTAAAACTTAACTTACACACTTGCTCACTCAGTTATCCCTCACCATCATCTCAATTCAGAGTATCTGGTCTCAGCCCTCCCCACAGGTCTCCCCAGTTTCCATGTGGGAAACCTGGTGAGAACATCTGAGAAATCCCTGTCCCTTAGCTCTTACCACAAAGTCACCAGTACAACAGGCATCCTACAGGTGCTAAGGAATAAAAACCCTGAAAGCTGTCAAATACTATTTTCATCCAAAACCCTTTCTTTTCCCAGACCAGGCTAATTTTCCCAGGGGACACTGAGGTACTAGCTTCCCATGGCAATGGAAAAGACCAAGAAACATCCCTCCTCTCCCTCTGGGTAACAGTGACATCCTTTCTACCAAAGTTGTGATATCACCAATTTTTTCAGACTTGCTCTGGTGGATACCTGTGTTCTATCTAGGATTTTCATACTATCAAAACAAAGTTTAACCCATGTTTACATTTCTTCAATAAATTATACATTCGGGATCCCAAGACATTAATCTAATCCTTAATTTTGAAATGAGTACTTTGGAGAACAGAATACAATGAAGACACAAGCTTTCATCTCATTCCATCCTGGAAAGAACTTGTGAAGGATGTGTTTTGATCTTTGCATCAAATCAGGGAACCTGGACTCTCTGGGGTTAACTCAAGGGGTGTGGCAGATAGAGTTCACACCCGGAGGGTCTGCTCTCTCTCCATAGCTTTTCTCTTAACCACCAGCCAATTGTCCTTTCATTCTGCAGAATTTGGCCAGGAGGAAGCCACAGTCTACCCTGGGGGTGGAAGACTGCCTCTGAGAACACACATAGCAATGGTTTTGCTGCTGGAGGAGATGGAGGCTGCCTGGCCAGACAGTCAGGAAAAGAAGTGGGGCAGCATCTGAGTTCCTGGTTCTTTGATTTCCAGAACCTCAGAGATCCTTCATGTAGCTAAAACTTAAAAGCTAAGACCGGTCCTCACTGACTCTCCACTCATGTATCCAAGCTGAGAGGAGACTCGGTTGTTTAATATCATCCTCCAAGGTAGGACATCATGAGGATTATATATACACAGGAGGAAAGGAGCCTGTCATCTTCTGCACCTAGGCTTCCCTAAGGAGTTAGGGACTCCTTTAATCACCATGTATGTAGAAAGAGACAGGGCATCCCTACCTAAGACACATTTTTTTTTTTTACTGCTTATTTCCTTCATGAATCTTTCTATTGTTTTCTTTCTGAACACACTTTTTTCTTATAATTCTAAATTATCTCAGCAGCAGACATATTCAAGTGTGTGTACTCAAACAAAAGAGATAGATAGATAGATAGATAGATAGATAGATAGATAGATAGATAGATGATAGATAGATGATAGATAGATAGATAGATAGATAGATAGATAGATAGATAGAATAGAAGTGTACACATACAAACACACACACAAGGGGAGAGAGGGATAAAGAGAGAGATACAAACAGTGTAGCACACATATACATAACTACATACATATAATCTTGGGGAATCAGTATAGACAAGGGAGGGAAGAGTAATAAATAATTCTTTCCATAAATGGCATAGCAAATACGAGATTACAGAACAAAAAATAGGGCTTTGGACTTCAAGTATCTGACAATGAGGCCAGCTACTGTCTCCTGTTATCTGTGAGGTTTTAACAAGTGACTGCCTTCCTTAGAAGCTCAGATGCTGTACCACATAAACGAGAGTAATGCCTGCCCCGTGCACCACATGTTATTATAGTGATAATTAAATGAAGATGTGTAAAAATGTCCTTTACATGTTAAAGAAGTGAGTAATGTTGAAAGTGACATCTCTTCCCATTATGAATAAAATTAATCTGCAAGTTAAATCATGTATGTGTAAGGATGAATACATTTCAATGCATTAGAAAGTGAAAGAAAACTACCCCTTCTTGATGTCAGAGGGTTATTTCATTCTGTAACTATGCCATATGAAACAGGACACACAGAAATCCTCACTCAGGAAAATGGACAGGGTCACAGCTGAACTCATCACATAGAAGCTGTGCCCAGCCCACTGTTCTCCAGAGTAAGAACTTAAAGATGTTCTGGTGAATGGCTGGTGTCCCTGGAGAACAAGACATCTCTGGTCTGTGAGGCATCTGTTGCATTTGTGTAACTCTCTCCCTTCTGTTCTTTATTGAATGTTCCTCTAAGGTGAAATTAAATGTGGTATTTTTCTGTTTCTAAGCAGTGTGACTGATGAATTCATAAGAAAGGGGTGAAGTGAGAGTATAGCATGGAGTCTGACCATCCTAACATTCCCCTTAAATGAGCCTGGGACCAGGTGACACACATTGCGTTAAGCATCTGTGCACCACTGCAGAAGAGCATGCTCAGTATCTAGAAGGTCAGAGTGCAGCCGCTGTTCCACAGGTGAAAAGATGCAGCTCAGAGAGGGAGTCATGTGACTCATTCTCCTTTAGTCTCAGGGAATGTGAGTTCCAAGTCATGGGTGAGGTGACACTAGAGTCAGCTCAGAGGATACTCAATGAACTCAGTGTTGTAATCCAGCCCGCATGCATAGCTCACAATGAATAGCTAAAATATTACTTCTCTCACTGTGATGGGACTTTGGAAGGGATTAAGGCTTATGTCTCCCCCAAAGCTTCTAACTAAGCAGCAAAAAATTGTCTACAAAAAATCAGTTGAACAGTTTGACTCACTGTCCTCAAGTTCACTATGCTCAGTGCAGGAGTGTGCTTAGAGAGTAGAGGAAGGCAAGGCCTGGCTTAGGATGCAAGTTCCTGGAGAGCACCATCTAAGGCCCAGCCCAGGAATGAGGAGCAGAGCAGGTATCCAGGATAGAGAAAAGGACACCAGCAAAGGCCTGGCAGGAGGAAGGCATGCCTTCAATCCTCTAAACATACAGGACTCAACAAATGAGGCTTAGGTCAAGCAATAAGACTCCAAAGTCTCATTCCAAAGGCCAGTCCGCCCTTTCTGTCCTCTGACTTTAAGGAGATTAACAAGCAATTAAAGAGTTACAAGATGGAGGAGGGAATCACATGATGCAGGATCATCCTAATTTTCAAACCATCTGTTTGTCTCCAGTGAGCATACAGTACTAAGTCCGGGATCACTTTTAGCCCTTCACTGGAGATGAAGTAGGATCAGATACTAGAGAAAAAAAAATGTCCAGCATAGCCTTTCAACATCACAAGGCAGAGATACTCATTTCAGGTAGAAATAGGAAGAAGAAAAAAAAACATGAGGCATTTGGTAATAATATAAACAAGGCACTCAACATGAAAACTGAGTCTTCACTGGCCAAAATCTAGGAAATACACATCTGCTATGTGAAGCCATGGCTGGCGCTATGTGGTAATAACCATAAAAAATGGTTGTCATTTCACGAGCTGAAAGGAAACTGCATCCATAAATGGATGAGCACAAAATGACCAGAAGATCATTGGCACAATGATCATGAAACTGCAGAGAGCCAGCTCAAATTGCCAGACAAGTAGCTAAACTGCATCAACTTAGTGTGACCTTGCCAGGCACCAATAAGTGTGCTACCATCAGCTCAGTGCTGACTGGATTCCTGTGGCTGGCTGCACCTTGCTTTCAAGGGTGTCCAAAGGTTCTGGAAGAAAGGGCCACTCACTCAGTTCTCTGCACCACAGGGAAGGAACCCATCCGTACATAGGAACTCTGGGCTCCGTTTTCTCTCTTCCCCAAGATTTCCTTCACACTGAACAAATCCATCAAGTCAAAACCTGTGCAAACAGAAAGTTGTGAGTGAGTTTGGCAGAGGAGGAATAGAAGAGACACATGAAACAGCTAGTTCACTCTCTCCAAAGACAGTCAGCCTACCCACCCTGCCACCAAGGGGTGGAAACATAAAAACACAGACTGGGAAGACAACAGCAGCTGAGCTATGAGCCATGTAGCATCAAGTCCAATGCTCCAGGACAAGGCAATGGGGAATACAGACACTGGTTGCCATACTGGAATGTTAGAGACAAGAACATTAAGGATCATGGTCAAGTATAAGACAAATGCAGGTATGCTGACTCCTCCTGCTGTGGGGACCTCTGTTCTAGAAGCTCAAACGTGGATGCTGACCCTTTAGAAAAACCCACAACTTAAGGTTTTCCTTCCTGCAGCCATATTGTGGCCTTTTACTTGGGTCCTGCTTGAACTGTGGCCCTGTGGTCCATAGCTTTGGAATCTCATGATTTTAGAGAGAGAAATGTGAGAGAGAGAAACAAACTTCCTTTGCAGTATTGCCTTAAAGAAAGGTGAGTACTTCAGCTTGCTTTGATTTCCCCTTACGAGATGACTGAGAGTCACTGTCAGTGTAAAGTAAAAGAGAAATCATGGCCATGGCCGTGGGCTTTAGCCTTGGGGGTGGTGAGAATGGGGGTGAAAGTTTAATTCTTCTCAGTCATATATCTATGAGAATCAGGCCTATTTCCTGACAGGGAGATGTCCTTGGTTGTTTCTCAGAGGACAGTGAGGATGCTTAGATGCCCAGTAGTTGAGTCTGTTCTGACAATGACATGAGACCCTGGGCGTACATCATTCATTAAGTCATAAGAGACCTGCTGAGCGAAGCTCACCACCACCTGCAGTGCATCCTTCCACATCTCATAGTAAGATGCTTTAGCCAAGGTGTCTTGCCCAATCTGGAGAGTGGGAAAAGTCTGCAGTTTATGCCCATCAAACCTCCAGAGAGCAACACCTGTGCTAGAGACTGACGGTGTGATGGAACTCAAACTTGGGAGCCCATGACACTGTATGTCTCCCTTTGAGCATCAGTTGACAAAGCTTGGAGCACCACATCAAACACTCACTATGCCCTGAGTAACTCTTATCCCTGAATGACAATGTGAGTACTTCCTTTCCCTTAGCAAGCTCTGAAGAAGACTTGCAGAAGAAGCAAAGGTGGGTCTCCCTGGCCCTGGTCTGTTGGAACTTTAACTGACTCACTTCCTCCCTAGACATTGGCTCTCACATCTGTAAGCTGGGTGGAGCTTGAAACTGGTTGCCTTTCATGTTTTATTAGTGCCGAGAACTATTTATCTGGTTCTAACATCATGGCAGAGTTTACCTTGCAAGCCCACTGCACTTCCAATGAGCATGCCTGGAGATACAACCTAACCCTTGTCTGCTGACAAGGTAGAAAGAAGCACTCCCATGCACACCAAGTGAAGGAAGGTTCTCATAGTGTTTAATGAAGCCAAAGCTCTCTATCCCCTCATAGACTCTGTAAAAGCTGTCTGACTCTGTTGAGCATGTTTTCTTAACTAGAAAAAGGAGATAAGTTCTTATTGGGCTAACTTGATATTTAAATCCAATGGTGTTGTCAGGCTCCGGAAGGTAGCCAGAGCCCAGTAATCATTCAGAAGTCGCCAACACTTCTCTCTGGAGTCTGTGAAGAGAACCTGTGGCCATCTATCCTCCTAAAGTTCCATGACACAGGAGCCTTCTACCTCAGAGACAGCATAACCACTATCATGCTGACTATGCAGGACTAGGCTCCAAGAAATGACCAGGGCACAGCACCCACCTTCCCTCAGCAGGGAGGAGTCCTGGGGAATCACTAAGAAATCCATGAACTGTGGTAAAGCCTGTGGCCTGCAACTGAGGGAGATAAACTCTTAGTGACACAGAGTACAGCCAATCTCTTCTGCAGTCAGGGGGTGTACTCCCCATCCAACTAAGAGTAGGAACTGGCTGGGTACCCCAGTGTTTATCATCTTAGCTCACCTACAGGCAAAAGGTACCAGGTGCCCTGAGGCTCTAAACACTTTATGACAATCACAGGGATTGCACAGAGGCCCTGTACTTGAAGTACACAGTAGGGACCCAGCAGTGGAAAGTACTGTTTGGTAGGTGGGGACTGACCTAGAAGCTTCTGAAGCCCTAAGTCCTATGGCCCTCAAACCAACACCAAAAGGAACAAGGTCAAGGGACCTAGTAGGACCTTTTTGTGCTCAGAGGAAAGTAGAATAGATTTGAATGGTAATGGCATGGGCCAGCCCTTAAAGTAGCGTGGGTGGTATCCTAGTGGCTCATGTCAGTCATGGTCGGAGGCAGAGGAGTTTCCTTTCATCAAGGGCTGCTGCCTAGAGAGAGGATTCTACACAGTATATTGGAGGTCGTAGGGTTTGTGGCAAAGAGATTACACCTCTAGAAAAGCTTCTAGTTGACACTAAGGAGTCAAGTGGGGGAGGCCTAAAAGGGAAGAAGATGTCTGCTTTCAGCCATACCCGGACCTGGTCTTGATCAGAAACCCAGAAGCTACAGGACTGCTTTGGTCACTCAGCCTCCACTGCTGCTCTGAATATCAGGGTCTGTGACAGCTACAATACACTTTACCCTTGGAATACACGGCCTTGGACCAGGAAGCAACCAGAAACTCAAGGCCACCATTGTTAGATCTCAGGCAGTCCATACCTCCAGAAATGAGCTCAAGCTGGAGTCTAGAAGGATTTCCAGTGGTTAGATAAAAGCCACTGTTCCTCAGGAACTTTTGAAATGAGTTATCTGCCCACCCAAAGGAGCCATTTCCCTTGTCTCCGGCAAAGGAGGCATATGGCTCTCCACTGACACATACCTGTGGCAGCTTTTAACATATGAAATCCATGCTAGCCTCCAGGTTCTTACTTCCCTATTCACATGTGTTGGTTATACATACATTTCAAAGTCCATGCTAGCCCCTCTTATCCTGTCTCTTCCCCAAACTCCCAGGCTGCTCCAACTCACAGGCTTTCCTACCCCCAGCTACTCATCCTTCTTATTTTCTACTGCCTTCTCTCTCTCTCTCTCTCTCTCTCTCTCTCTCTCTCTCTCTCTCTCT